AACTGTAGCTGTAAGCTTTATTGTTATCATGCTGGGTTGGGTGATGGACTTGGAATTGGACGGCTGGGTAGTCGAACGATTGGCCTTCTTTTCTTTCTCACGGCCTTGAGATGGTTTGGTTGGTTGGTTGGTGGGGTGGCGGGACGGTACTCTGCTTTTTAGCCGATTGGCGGGCGGGGATGTGTGTATGAATGGCAGCATGATGACGAAGCGAGGGGTGGGGAAGCAGAGGAAGAAAGGGGTTAGTGAATGATTATCGCTTTTTACCTGTGAAAAGACTTTGATATCGCTGAGTGTATGTGTGCCTGGGGGAGGGATGTGAGATGGCGAAGAGGACAGGCTTTTGCTGAAAGGCATGTTTCTTGAAGCAGAGAATCAATGACTATCGCGATAATCTGCCTATGACCCTTACTACATGTAACTATCAAGGTAACTTTAAGCCAAGTGCTCCCTCACCAACTTCTTGGGTTAGAAAATGTGATACCAAAACCAGCACTGAAATGGATCATGATATGGGAGTGCAAGGCCTTTGATACATTCGCAAATTCAAACCATTCGACTTCGTTGCCATGGTATTCGGCTGCCTCGTGCTAGGCTCCACGAAAAGAGCAGCGAGAAAGGAGAGTATATAAACCCTTCTTTCCGCTGCTCTCTTCTTCCTTCATTACCTCCACTCTCCTTGAGTTCTACAAAAAAAACACTCCGCTGCTATGGGGTGTTTTGCTCTTCTCTTCTTCTCAAATGTACCGAGATATACACATGGAGCGCACTTCTACTCTTTCTCCTTCCATCATACCCAAAAACGAAAGTATGAGACCCCATGGGGCCGTTTCTCTGCGCGGCTTCTTTGTCTCCAAAAACATGGATAAACTCATGCCATGAAATTTCTCTGGCTTTTTCGAACAACTTTATCAACACGACACTTCTTTCTGCTCCAGACATCACCTCAAAAATGGAGAATCTATGCGCAATGTTCGCTTTCGAAGTTTAAGAAACGTTATGCCTGTACCGCTCATGTTCGTCTTGGGGTTCAAAATCGATACTCAGATTGGCCATGAGATAGGAGTATGAAAGCCCTCAACGCATTCACAAACACAAAACATCCGACCTGGCTGTCATGGTTTCTGGCTGGCTCGGCTTTCTGTGCGAACGTAGTACCTACGGCTGTATAGTTGACCGTTGGGTATATAACTCCCACCTCTCGATGACTCCTATTCTACTATAACAGTACCTCCCACCTCTTTTGCAAAATATTCGTCATATCGTATCATGGCCTGAGTGTCTTCTTACCAAACATATATCCAAACATACGATGGGGATTTGAAACGGTTGATTTCCAGTCTAGAATCAACACGAAAAGCGCGCATGGAGAAACCCTCCAAGAATTTTCGGATAGTATTAACACCACAATGAATTACTCCATGTATCATTGTCGAAACTCTTTGTTATAAGAACACATGTCTATCCGCCTGCCTATCTCCAACCTACCAAGGATCACCAGGTCTCCTTCTCCGATGTAAATGCTTAATCACAACATTCACACCCACCCGCCTCATCTCTTTGGCAACAATCTCCGCTGTACCGACACTTCTATGTGTACCCGCATGACACGTAGTCTGTATCGAGGCAACCTGATGACCAGCGTTGAAATGGTTGACAATAGAAGCCAGTGCTTTTTTACTAGAATATTACAAATTAGCACCTTATGTCTTGCCTGACTTCTTCAAAATAGTTAAGGCATGTACATGTGGTGCTCACATCTCTCGTACGGCCGTTCGACTCCCCAACATAAACTGCTGTACTTGCTGGCTCACTCCAGAGTACATCTCACACATTTTTCGTGGTGGTGCACGCCACGTCTGACAGTATATTGTAAAGAGGGCTGGTACAGGTGGTACATGTTGTAATAGTTGCGCTTCAGCGCCTGGTTGCCGTTCGAGGACTTCAGAAGAGTAGGTGGTCACATATAGAGTTTTCTGGACTAACGGAACTTGTGGTTGCAGAAGAGGTCGTGGAGGAAGCAGTAGTTGCTCCTGCAGAAGATGCTGCTGGGGCGGTAGTATAGTTGGTAAAGGTGCGGGGAATAGGCCTGCTTGCAAAGGTATTTGCATTTGCGGAGGTGGGTAAATGACAGGCTGAAGCAGATACATTTGCATATATAGATATACTGAAAACCTGGAAGATGATTCTCATAGAAGAAAGACCGGCTATAGAACTCCGGGTAAGCAACTCTTCCATGCACACGAGCATTATGTGAAGATATTCAGATGCTGATGATGTGATGAAAGTCAATGTACTTCAATCCTGAGGCCCATTTTTGATGCAATATGTATGTAACTACGTGGTTTCATGTCACAGATAGAACGAGAAATTGGTTATTGTGAATTCGAAATGCACAAGTTCTCAGACTTGACGTCTGCACCAAAATGGAAAATCGCGTACATGTCTGCCAGCGTCGAGTAAGTCCTTTGATACAGTTTGGAATGAGCGTTAGCAAAGGCCTCAAACTGAAGTCTGAAGACCACCTGATCTTTCTCAACCCTTCGATACGTCCACGGGTACGTCACCCTTCCGAACAACTGCGCCACATCAACCCTTACGCCGCGTGCTCGCCTATCCTAGTATTCAGTTTACTGCACCAGACTGATTTCCAAATCTGCCCATAATCGTCTTTTCCGTCTTGAATCCTGTAGCTCCTGCATCCAGATAGGACTGCATACCATCACACACGTGGCGCCCAGATCCCCGGTCGCATGTCTGATCCTACGCCAACCTTCCACAATCTGCTTCTACAACCCTGCATAGAAGCAAGTAACAGACTCTCCTTCTTCCTACGGCCTGGATCGTAGCGGCACGGGTATAACGAGCTCTTCGCTTACTATGCAAGGAGAAGACGGACTTGGCAACGTCTACGAAGTGGGCCGGGAAGTCAACCACGCCGCAAATCCTACTTACGCCCCACCCGTGCATAAGGGACTGGGCAGGATCTGGGCGGCTATCTCGCCAATAGAATATTACAAGATGTATACATGGCAGTATGAGTTATGGGTAAGCGAATCCTGATGTGCAGCGGGTGATATCCCTTGCTCGGAGCTGGCGACACGCGGTGTGGTCGACGTGATACCGAGTTGCCGGGTGCTTTGAAGGATCGTCATATCATATCGATATTCCTAACGCCCGCCCATTAATCTAACAAGATGTGCATTGTTGGGTAAAAGCGAAGTGGACGATGTCCATGGCGGGAATAGTGGTAAATCGCAAGATCTTCCTGGAAGGAGACATGGTCAAAAGGCTACGCGTGCACGATCTGGACTGGAAGTTCGGGTATCGAGTATTGGATGAGACCAATAAGAATTATATCTTCCTTCCTTTCCTATTAAGACTGAGGTAAGCTCAACGAAACACTTTAAACCCAGATACTCGGTATTCTGGAATTTCGCATCACTTACTCCCTCTAGCGGTCAATCGATGCAAGAGCTCGTTGCATGATTCACAATTTGCCTTCACTACCCCCTTGGAGAACATCGCGTAGCAACTTCAACCCTTCCACGGCAAATGCCACCATATTACCTTCGCGCTCACTACTGCCCGTTTCCACTTCCTTCGTCACAGTCTCGCCTGTCTCCCGTGCCACAGCAAGCGCCACATAACCAGGCGTCCTGTTCTTGGTTGTGCCTCCCGTCGGTCCAGCCGTTCCGCTCTCGCTGACAGTATACGTACTGCCTAGTGTCTTCCGAGTGTGCTCGGCGAGGCCGGAGACGATGGTGGGGGTTGGGCCGCTGTAAGACTTGATGGTGTCCTGGGTCCAGCCGCAGTAGGCGATGCGTGATTCGAGTGTATAGAGGGTAAGGCCTCCGCGGTAATAGCTCGATGCACCAGGAAAGGAAAGGAGTGCTGCAGAAATTAGACCGCCTGCTGCCTTTGTGCGTACGCGTCAGTAAGGATGCTTGGCTTTTGAAGAATGGAGAGACTTCACTGTTTCGGCTACTGAGACTGTTTCTTTGCGCTCTTTGAGTAGAGTGGCTACTTCCTGGACGATTTGTCGTAGTTCCTCGGGCGGGAAGATTGGAGGTGACATTGTGATATATGCAGAATTGGTGGTACCGGGTTACTTTTGCGTATTTGAGGACGAAGACTTCGATATATGTATGAACTGTCCTTACAAACAGAATTTCTTGATAATCGTAACGGACTTATGTCGGATGTAGCGGCTCTCAGTGGGGTAGCTTCGAGGCAGTGACGTATGCGGGGTAGCTTCTACTACAGGCACATCTAACCATACAATTCATCCCTTATGTACATGCAAGGCTCAACGCATAATATACAGTGTCCATCTAGTCGAAGGCGAACCTTTCCTCTCCTCTCTTCATCAACCTGATGGGTATAGACACGCCCCTCAACTGTAGCGTGACAATGCTCGCCACTTTGTTCTTGAGGAAGTCATTGGCTCTATCCTCAGCCTTTCGGTATAGCTCTCTCCTCTCCTTGCCTCCTTTTGGCATCTTCTCTACTTCTTCGTCACTAGCGAAGTCATCTACTGCAAGCTCAACGCTATACTGCGAGAAGATCGCAGCCAGCACGGCAAGAATCTCAACTTGAGCGAAACGTCGGCCAATGCATGATCGAAAGCCATCGCTGAAGGGGATGTATGAACCTTTGACGGGCTTGAAGAGTTGAGCTGAAGTGTCTTCTCCTGATGGTCCACGTAAATCTTCATCATCGTAATTGATGTCGACAAAGTCGTTGTCAGGCTTAGTGTCGACGAGCCAGCGTTCAGGTCGGAAACAGTCTACGTCCGGGATCCCGTTCTTATTCGATCCATCAGATGGTGCTGGCCAGTATTTAGGATTGCGGTGGATAGCCGCACTAAGGAAGATATGTGTATCTCCAGGTATCATGTATTGTTGGCCTCCAACATTTAATGGCCGGGGTTGACCCGGCGCAGTAGACTTTGGGATGTTGACGATGGGTTGTAGAATGCGTAATGTCTCGTTCATGACAGCTGCCGCCATACCACCGAAAAGGGGTTGGAAATGCTCCTCAAATTTCCATTCGTCCATCGGCTTACCCGCAAATATCTTGTCGATGTCTTCCTGTAGCCGCTTCTGGGACGCCCAGTTCATTGCGAGGAATATCATCGAGAAATGTAGTGTGTTGGCTGTCGTTTCGTGACCAGCCAGCATTACTACGAAAGCGTTGCCCAGCAAATCGCTCTTCGTAATCGTCGAGCCCTCCTCCTTGGTAATGCCGCTTCCTCGAATCAGAGCATCAAAGAGATCCATGCCTTCTTTTGTATCATCGCCGGATTCAACCTGGGTCTTCTTCTTTTCGTAAATCTCGTTCATGTACTTTCCCCATTCGCCTACAGCCTCTCCGACTGTACGATGGACTTTGACTGGTGATCGCGCTGTCCGATCACGTTAGAACAACGTTCTCAATTCAATGCAGTCAGAAACTGACAGGGAGGTGACTTACAAAGCCACTTGATAGGCATAATCTGAGTCCACATGATGTTGTGGAGCAGTTCGCTAAGAGCTTCCCTATAGTTCATGGTGTGGCCTGGAGGTGCTTCGGATCCTACGAAGATCGAGTCTTCTCCACCCTTCTTAGTCTTTGGTTTCTTGCCCTCTTCGTGCGGCCACACTACGCGTACGTCGAAACCTGCACCACTAATAACATAGAGAGCAAAGTTCATTGCGGCGACAGAAGGGTCAGCCACGGTCAGGTTTCCTTTACCATCAGGCCCAGCCCACAGATCGAGCATCGACGTTGCGTGGTGAATAGTCTCATTGAACACGAGTTGATTGTTCTTGTCACCGAAGCTCGGTGCCACAAGTTTACGGTGTGCACGCCAATCTGACCCCTCAGTAGACACAAGATTCTTTCCGTAAATGTCCAGTGACCCGTACATCTCAAGAGGCTTGGGAAAATCATTGCGGCGGCTGGTAATCTGGTTGACGGCCTCCGCATCGGCCACGTAGACAGTATTTCTGGTAGGAGAAGCCACAATGAACACGTCCATCCCCATCTTTTTGAAGGGCTCATGACCGCTCATATAACCCCATTCCGGATGCAGGATGCTGCAGGATCAAATTAACATCTCAACTATGATCAAGTTGGACATACTTACTCCATCCACATGCCTCTTAGTGGTTCTGGCACAAATCTCTGCAGCAATGGCGTCCATAACTTGAAAGTTGACAGCCAGAAGATACTGAACATGTGCCATGGCGCTACAATCACAGGTAATCCCGAGCTCTTTGCGAGCGCGACATTTTGCTGTAGACTACGATATCTCCAGGTTATCTGATAGATGGCGAAGCTCGCGATGACGCTAAAGATCAGGGTGGCGATCATGATGTTCTTCCCGGCGGAACTTCAGACTAGGGGGGGAATCTACTGGTACAAGAGATTGTGGTCGACGCGATCTTGCGCTATCGAAGGCACTGTGGTGAAGATGCTGGAGGTGTCTGTCGATGATGTGCATTCGCCCCTCCAGGCGCGAATGGAATTGTGACGTATACATGTGCGCGATTGAACTTGTCTCACTGGCGTCTCAGCACCTCGGTTACGAAAGATCGCTAGCAGATGCATCTCGCGTACTGTATATGTGTGCAGTATGCAAGACCTGACGATGCATAGGGTTACACAAATGAAGCTGTAGGCTGATAGGCTCTACTCACTAAATCGTACCCTCGTGTGGAGTTGCAGTGTGAGATAGGATGCGCGTAAGCAGTCATGATCCGAAATAGGCTTGGCGGAATCGCGCCTGCCTACTTGTTTCCTTACATGTACCAGTTGTGTGACACTTGCGCTTTACACGCATCTACGAAACACAAACAAGAACCTGATCTGGCCGTGTCACCTGGTAATGGGGACCTAGAAGCTGTGTCCCTTGGTTGCAAATTTCTGCGTTTGGTACGACACGGCAGGGCGTGTTTCCGAGGAGCAAAATTACAAGGCAATACCCGCGCACACCACCTGGTGGACAGCGACCAGACGAAGGTTCATCTATATCGTCACTTGCGACGTCACATCATACCTTTCGTCATTGTTGAATGCATCTGCGTCAGCACGAACACTTTCTATCACTAGACGACAAGGCGAATGCGTTCCATGGATGCGACTCACGGTTCACCGTGTCGCGCCGCTTTGCCGATTCTCCAGCCCCTTCTGCATGCTCTTATGCCAAATGTGGCAAGCGGTTGCTACATCGCCTGCCGTCTAGGGCTTGAAATTTCTAGAAATGTTGTTGCTCCGATCGATGGCAAGCCTTGAGATGCCGTGTCGCAGAATGAAGCGACTACACCGACTCAACGGCAACTTCTCGACATGAGTTTGACTCGTTACTGCGCCATCGCTCCGTGGAGAGGTAGTCCAAGGGACTCCCCGTTTTTTCACTGGACGCCTCATGCGTTCCACGTGGTAAAGCGACAGCCGCCAGGATGTGAAAAGCCAGGGTAATCCCACGAGGCTCGCAGACCGGCTTTGCTTAGACAATCTCGGTTGTGGGGAGTCGTCTATCGGACAGGTCCTCTCACGCATCAGTCATCTAGTTTGAAGCAGACCGCAACTTGCCATAGCGTCGGTGAGGAACAGGGCCGGGCAGAGTCGGCTCGTCATCTGACTGACTGGCTTGATAGCTATCTCTGTGAAGAGCTTAGCATCAAAGACGCTGCTGTTTTGGATTGATGTCGCCGGGCAGCTGACCGTTTCTTTGCGGCAGGCCCTCCACGACCGAGTTATGTGCGCATGGCCGCGTTTGCAAGGGTGTCCAGGGCACTGCGGCGTGCACAGTACCAATCTACTCCAAGTGCACGATGGAGGGGTTCTACTCCATGTGGGCTTGCAAATGTTCCTGACGCCATAATGGCGGTCGCGTGTTGCGGCCGCGCTAGTTTATAGGACAGACTTTGGACATGGTAAAATTAATGTCACTTGCTAAAGACCGGCGCCTCTCCGGCATCTGCCAGTGAGCAGCAGCCGCGATTTCCCTAGCAAACGAGGCGGACAAAAGGGTAGTGGCAGCAGTACACACACTATTTCGCCATGTGCCACCAAACTGCCTATAGGAGTCTCGCCAGGATCTGCAGCTCGGAAACGCAATGCTGATCTTTGGGCAGCAGAGTTGTGAGTGACAGGTCCTGTTCGCGAAGACTCGGCGCATGAATCGTCACAGCACAAAGGATGGGACCGAGTGCTCGAGGCAAGCAGACAGTACCAGGCGTAAGACGAGGCGTTGCAAGATATTGCCTGCACGCCACAAGCAGCGCATCACTTCTATCAACCTTCTCGAATACCTCGGTGCCGCTGCAAAGTGGAGGCTGGCAGACTAGGGATCTTGACTAGTCGGCCTCAGAGCTCGGATCAGCTTCCTGAATCTTTCAGGGCCAGCAATTGGGCAGAAATTATCCGACTATAGCTGCTGATGGCGGGCCTGCTCCAAGATGCACGGGTTGTCAACGATGACTGTTGCATAGCGGAGGACCGCGCATCGCCGCACGAAACAACAAGCTCCGTGACTGACACACGACCAGCGCTCAAATTGCAGCAGTGGTCTAACATTCCTGATAGATGCAGACGTGTTGCCGTCGGTTGGAAACGGCGTCCAAATAGTTAGCAATGGATGCGCGGTCGCGTCGGGCGGGAGCAACGTTTGCTGTCTGCAACGGCATCATCCTATGGCACATGACGGGCTCTGGCAGCTCGCGCTGTTTGATACAACGGTGCCATGTCGTCCTTGTCGATGGCCACACAGCGCGTCTGGTGGCCCCGCCGAAACCCTTGTCTTGCAGACTGGGTTAATGGCACAAGCGACCTGTGTGCTGCACATCCTTCGCTTTACGCTAATACGCCGCTTCTGCAATCCTCGTCCATCTCTCTCCAAGCATCGGTATCAGGTTCTCCCCTCCCGACATAGCCCATCGCACACCATAGCCATAACCCTCACCACCACTACTAATCACCTACTACCCTCCACCACCACCCGCGTGCCTGACCCAGTGCTGTGCCGTCTCCCGCCCCCCCGTCGTGTCTCGCTTTGAGCTGTTCCTTTTTGCGACTGATTTAGTTTCGCGCCTCTGTAATTGCGCCCTGGCCCCTTCGTTCGCACGGCCCGGTCTTAATAGCGCCACTTTTCGCCGACCAAGCCAGCAAACGTCGACAGCATAGACCGTCCGCGACTCATTCATCTGGGCCTTACCTGCTTCGGATAGTTGTCTCCGGCTCCATGGTAAGAGAGTCTTGCCCAAGGCTAGGTCCTTTCTTCGCGCACGCGGCATAGGAAAGCTCCCGTCCTGCATCCCACTCTGGCCTCCGAGCACTTGCCCTGCGACGCTTTCCAAACTCTTCCCCTCTTCCAGGCGATGACGCGGGTTGGGCTGTCATCTGCAAATCATCTTTGACCTGCTATTCGCTGACTCCAGCGAATTGGTCTTTTCCTGACCCTGCAACTGCCGAGGCCGCCTCTCCACCACCTGCCTGCCCACCCCCCGCGACCTTCCTGGCTTTTGCCGTTTGGTGGTCCTGGGACCATCCGTTTTGCCCAGTGGTCGTCTGTCATACATAGCCGCATGGCCTGAGCGGATTCCGTCTGGCATATCTAAGGATGGCTGATCCTGACGCGCCCGGCCAGTCTAAGAGAGCTCGTTTGGGCTCCGGCAATCTTGATCATCCGCAGTATAACGGCCACGGATTTCCACACCCTCCTCCACCGCCTCATACCCAACCCACTCGACCTCCGTCTCATTCCACTTTAGTCCAGGCGTCTCCGCCCTACGGTGCTCACGGCTTACCGGTTCCATCTAACCAGTATCCTCCTCACGTCCCAGGCTATCCCGGACCGCTTCCTTCACCGTCCCTTCCGCCATCTGATATTCGTGCCCTTGCGGACCCACGGAACATACCCTCACCTCGTCAGCATCCCAATGGCGTTACTGGAGCATCTCCTGTGACGATCCCCCAGGACCGAATTTCCAGCTACCGTCCCCCACTCACACCTCAGACGACCACTGCGCCAGCAGAGCCACAGAGTTCCCGGTCCACCAGTGTCAGTATCAGTGTCGACGTGAAGTCTCAAAGTCAGACTCCCATGGAGCATGGCGGCCACCACCAGCCGTGGGCAATCAACCACGAGCATCGCCCCAATGGCAGCATACCCAATGGATACAACCACGCCATCAGTCCTGGAGCACACCCTAACGGAGCGCCATATCATGCACAGCCGCCACCACCACCAGCCCAGCAATACGCTCCTCCTGTCACACCCTACGCGCAGACCCCGTACATGAACGACTATGGCACCGCACAGCAGATACGACGAAAGCAGGTGCGCGCCACCCAGGCCTGTAACCACTGTCGTTCGCGAAAGCAGAAATGTGATGAAGCTCGACCGTGCCAGTTCTGCCGGGAGAACAACTTCGACTGCCAGTACAAGGATGTCCCGCCACCCAAGTGCGTTACCCGATCCCTCCCTTTGGTTCATCGCTGACCCCCACCGTAGGCAAGACAGAAGCATGATGCAACTTCAAGAAAGTGTGAACAGCATCTCCGACGTTCTGGCGCAGTTTGTGGACCAGTTCAACGGCTGGAAATCGACTGTTGAGAGTAGGCTTCCACCATCACGGAACCACGAGATGATGTCGAACCACGCTTCGCCTGAAGCCTCTTTCTCCGCACCCCCAAGAGAGCATGGCACATCCAGATGGCCTACTCCCATACAGGGAAGAGGACATATGGGTCGAGTCAACAGCAACCTGAAAATGGAGTCACCTATTGCTCCCCACTCGAACAGGATGTCGCCTTTGGGTGCGCAAGCATCGGCTTCTATCAAGCAAGAGTCTCAGTATGCGCCCCCTCCTCAACAGCCGGCAACTCCTGCTGAGAGTGTGAGGACCGATCGCAGCCATGCTACTGAGACTAGCCCCAAAGAGCAAACGGGCTTGCAGGGCGATCACACCACGCCGGCGCACAAATTGCTGGACGAGTGGCAGCAGATGAGTATCTTCTATACAGGTATCCCGTACCTGAGAAGGCTAATAGACAACGGCCGTGAAGTTTCAGACTACCCGATGCAGCTTGAGCAAGACCGCGGACTGCTGCGCGTCTGGGGTGTCGGCGAGGGCCAAGACTTGAACGACGGAGCTCAAGGCCCTGGAAGCCCAGAGAGCAGTAACGACTCAGAAGCGCCTTCACCAGCACCCGGCAAAGAAGGCCTATGGGGATATCCATTTTCCGAGGTCCCGGCTGGAACGACAACACCGGGTAGCACCCCTCGAGAATACTTCCCGCCCAAGCCGCGGCAGGAGAACGGGCTTGGCGCAGACGGCCGGCCCGACTTTCGACGCCATGTCATGTTC